AATGTTATAACTTTTGGGACAATATAGTTTGATAGAGTACATTTATATACATGTTTGAGCCAGAATGATTTGAAATTTAAATATGATTTCCCCACCACTTTAAAATGATCAAGAATTCTGGAGCAGCCTAAAAGGAACTGGAACAGTTCAACCTTTGCATTTTTATTTTAATTTTCTCGTTGTGTCATCCTTTTCCTCTCAGTTATCACTCAACTTATCCGAATTAAAGTTAATTTCTAAGTGACTCTTAGTTTATGTACTGTACTTGTTTTAAAATTATGATTTAAAAACCTAGTCCACAAGAATACTCATTCAAATTTTCCTCTAAATTATGATATACGTTTACATTATTTATTGGCTGCATCTAAAAATATCAAAGATATTTTCAATTTAAACATAATTATGAAATAATATAAATATTTTCGAATAATAATTATTATAATGATAATTATATTGTACTAGGTCATCAAATCAATTCAGTTTATTCTGTCAAATAAGCTGCCTGTAGTGTCCTTAAAGGTCCAGCAGGTATTCTGTGAGACAGTATCAACGCAGTATTAATACAGTTTGGCAATGTTTCGAAACGCTTCAAGATTCCTCATTAACCCATCACTAACCGTTGAGTTTGAGGCTTTATAGAGTGGAAGAAAACAAAGCCTTGTTCTGGCTTAGAAAACATGTGTCACGGTTGGGTTGATGTTTTGAGGACCCAAATGCAGAGGTGAGAAGGCAAAGGTGAGGTTTTGCAGATTTAATTAATTAACTGAGGCAAAAATCCAAAAACCAAAGTACAAGGAACCAAAAACCAGACAACTTCAGAGGAAAACTCACACGTAGAGCCAGGAAAAGACAAACCAGCACTGAGGAACTGCACAGGGAGAGTTTATATAGGAGACAGAACAAAGACTGGACTAATGAGCTGACAAGGAACAGGTGTGGATGAAAGCATCTAGAAGGAAGCCAAGGGGAAAGGAAAAAAACACAAGGGGGGAACTGAGAGTAACTCAAGAACAAAATGCTGCAAGAAAACAACTATAAATACAAAGAAACTAAAAATAAACTTAAATAGGGGGCAGAAACCTGACAACATGCAAATTGAACCTGAAGAACGGGTCCGCCGTCGTTTGGCTTCTTTTTTAGCCTGCAATACTTAATACTGGTCTATTCCTCTCATCATTTCGTTGAGAAATGTTTCCAAAACCAATAAATTGTAAATAGAATGGATTGTATGTTTATTACTGAGTGACATGCTATTTGGTCAGTATTATAGTTGTATTAGGGGCCTCTCTGGGGCCCTCTCACTCTCCTCTTTTCAGCGTCCTTTGGTGTTAATGCCAGGAGGTAACTTGTGCCACAGTCAGTGACTGAGAAGGTATGATCCCTCAGTGTTTATACGTAGCTCTGATGACTTCTAAAAAGAGCTGGTCTGTTGAACTAAAGGTTATCGTTGGGCTCAGAATGCTTACAAGTTCAGGCAGGTACGGAGGAGCAACAGAATTAAGGGCTCTAAAATAACAAGCAGCTACATTTTGAAATCAATCCTAAAAAAAGATGGAAGCCAATGAAGAGAAAAAAAGGACTGGAATGATGTGCCTTCACCTGGGAATGCATTTTGAACCAACTGAGGACAGTTAGTGAATGACATAAAGACACTGACACAGGTCGAGTAACAATATTTAATTCTGGAGCTTGTAAACGTGAGAAGAGCTTTCTCATGATCAATATGATTAAAAAAAAGTTGTACCTTTGGTAACCTTGCACCTAAATCACCAAAAAGCATAATTAAATCAGCTGTTGCGCTTTAACTCTTTGGAAGGATCCAGCCTGCACTATAAAATCATTGTAATATTGGACAGTGGCGGAGGCTGCAGGTTAGGAGGCACTTAACCCATTAGAGAACGCTAGCCCTGACTACACTGCTTGTCAAATCTCAAAGTTCTGTCAAAGATGACTCCAAGGTTCTTTACAGCTGCTTTAGGTTTAGAAGGTAGGAAATGAAAAACAGAATGGTTGAAATGGAGCACTGCTTACATCTGCCTCCTGATCGTCTCCATGGTTTGACGGTGCTCCTTCAGCATGTCCTCCACCCTGGCAGAGTTTTTAATCAGGAACAGGTTCTGCTCCGTCAGCTTTGTCATCAGATCCAGTAGCTGCTGGGGATCTGTGAAGTACAGCTCTGGCTCATCCTGAACGGAGGTGAAACATCAAAGTGAAAACTGTAAATAATTATTTAATTCATACTGAAAAAAAAAACAAAAATTAGGTAAAGGGAAACTGACCTCTGAGCTGACACAATCCTGTCTACAGTTTGTCTCCCTAAAATGTAAAAGAAAGAGTTTAAATGTATACTTTTAATGTAGTTTTGTGACAGAATACCAGAATTATATAATATTAGCACTGTAATAATATCAATCCATGTTGCATTAACTTGTCTCTCATGTTTTAAAAATATTTTTTATAAATTAATCCACACATTTTACCACAAGGGGGCGCTGCACACAAACAAAGTTTGGATTTGTCTCTCATTGTATAACTGCAGACAGTGAATTTAGTAATTAACACTTTTCTGATTGTTATGATTGTAATTCTAGCAGCAAAATGTAAAAGTTTTCATATCTTCAAATTTAGTTGTGTAGTTTTCATTACTATAATAAAATCTTTCCAGACCAATGACCCGCAGGCTGGCTGAAAGTCCTGTCCTGTTGCCAGAGGTGAGTAGAGTGCCCCCAAAATTTAATTTAAGCAAGAGTATTATTTAAAGAGTTTGTCCCGAGTGATCTCTTTTCAGGAAAAAGAACCGGAGAGATAGACATCTGTATCACTACGCAGATGTCACCCACGTGTACATCACCATGTTTTCAGGTGTATATAAAAGACTCCAGCTCTGGGTAAATGCAGAGAAGAAATCAATGGATATGTAGGAAAAAAAATTCTTCAAGGAAATCAAAATGAAGCTGAAGAAATAATTTTTGGATCAAAGGAAGAGTTTAAAAGTTAGCACACAGCTTCATTTAATACAGCTGGATACCAACACTGTCTGTTTAAGCTGTAAAACCAGATTTAGTCAAACTTTCTTTACCGTTAATAATCAGTTCTTAGTTCTCTTCTTCTCTCACTATGCCATGGCAATGTGCATTTCTCTCTGTTTTCCGATAATGATTAATTCATGTACAGCATCTTGTGATGTCACTGACACGTGCTACACAAATGAACCTGCCTTGCCTTGGTAATGACACATTTCTTTTCAATGTTTCATTTTAATTTAGATTTTTCCATTTTATTTTTAAGACTGCGTAGAACCTTCTTGCCTGGATATGTACAGATGTACAGTAGAAGAAAATACCCCAAATATTACAAAGTCGATATTTGACCTAAAACCATGGGGATAGAGACCTAAATTTTTTCTGCCATCATAAAGACTGTATAGATTCCGCCCAAAGTGTATCCTTATGTTAGGGTTTCAGGATGATGAGCCTACAAATTTGAGGCTGAGATCATAAGATATCGAGCTAAGATGTTCATTTTATGGAAAACTGCATATTTTCAAGCTTTGTGTTATGCACCATTGATGTGTGGCTGTACAATTGCTCTGTAAAAAAATAATAAAAGTATGAGTTCTAAAAAAATAAAAAAAATAATAATAAACACTGTATAGGACAAAAAAGGAGGTAAAAAGAAAACACGCTTCAACAATCACTGTTAAAGAATGGTAGATTTTTTAAGTGTCTTGATGCTGTAGTAAATCATGTTACTGTACTGTGTATAAAGCAGTTGCTGGTATTGACCTTGTGTATTTTACTTAAAAGATTCAGAGATTTTTTTCTATCTTTTGTAAAAAAAAAAGCCTGCAGCTCTTTGCTAATACTCCAACGTAAACGTTCGGTACATTTAAGGGACACCTACTGAAGACAGAGATGGTTCTTGTGTACACTAAAGGTAAATGTTTGCTGTCCTTACTGTCGTCTTTCCAGAGCAAATTTAGAACTGTCAATCCTGGTTAGAACGGGAAGATGTTTGTCACCAGCAAGAAGGTGTGAAGAGGTTTGAAACTGACTGGGATTCAAGCTTAAAGCTGAGCTATATACAGTAGTTGTGAAAGCTGAAATTTGACGCCTCCCACTCCCACTCTGTTCATAAACTAAACAGCTACTCCACAGGCGAGCCACGTCCTCAGGACACTCAGCTGTGCACCTACACCTCAAGGATAATGATGTTTGTTTAAGGGCCAAAATGTTCATATGTATGCAGAATAGACAGATGGTTATAGAGCGGAGGTCTTCAACATGGAGTCCGCGACCCCTAGGGTGTCCACGGGGGTACTGCATGGGGGTTGCGAAAGTTTTGGTTAATAAGACTTTTTTTTTATATTCCCCCCTGCAATTTTTACCACTTTACTGAAATGTCTTTAAATCCACAATAAAATAAATTCAACACACTGTAGTAAACAGATAAATGGAGGCAGAGGATGTCTTTCAGTCATCAATGCACACATTCAGTGATACACAGAAGCTCTTTCAAGCTGGGCACCGTTTCATTCACAACACCTGTCCCATCAACCAGGAATCAGAATCAGTAATACTTTAATAATCCCAGGACGCAAACACTTTTGTTACATTACTCCATCTGTCATAGAGTGACTATAGGACCAGTTTGATAGAACACGATTTCATACAATATATATAATTAGAGAGTCCACGCTACATCTTGCCATCAGTTTGGGGGTCCTTGGCCTGAAAAACGTTAAAGACCGCTGTTATAGAAGGTATAGGTCAAAAATGAAAAAAACCTTTAGAAAAGCAACAAGCAAAATTTTACCTCTGGTGGGGCTATTAAGAATTATCTGTATACAAGATGTGCGACGAACAGCCAGACATCTCTCTACCTTCTCTAACCCCGCTTCCCATCCTGTTTTTCACGCGTTACCTCATATGCACATATTAGGTCAAACACACACAACAAAACAGCAAGCATGTCTAGTGAAGAAGTAACCATAACTTTATAATGCTGGTAGTAAGAGAACTTAACTTTTCTGTTTGTCAGTAAGTAAATATGTAATTAACAAAGTCTTTCACTATTAGAATGGTAAATGTTCCCAGCTAAAGGTAAAAGTAGGCTGTTTAAGAGCTCAATTACCTGAGTATACCCTTTGCACAATGTGAGGCACTCTGAGCACGAGTAGCACTAGGGGCAGTAGACCTTTCACCATTGTGACCAACTTAGTGACTTTGTTGCTATATTTAGCTAATTTTAAAACCCCTTTACTGCGTTTCTACAAAACAGCAACTAATGATTAATCTAGCAACCCTGTGTTGTTGGAAACTTTGGAGACAACGCAAAAGCACAGATAACTCTGCGTTTAGTGTCTTTAGCGAGCAACTGCTGTGAGCCCCTCCCTCTTCCACAACACTGACAGGCAGTCAAACTCAGCAGGGAACCGTTTCTGTACTCAGAGAGGAAAAGCATCGAAAATAAAATAAAATACTTAGTGCTTTGTTTGATTTGAAAGTATTGCACTAAAATAGATCCACTCTGCATTTACTTAAAACTGCACTCATTCACAGGTATTTTTTAATCCACACATCAGTTGGGTTGTCTTTTGATTATACTGCAGTAAATATACTGCAGTGTATGATTATTTACTAAAAATCAGAAAGTGATTATTACATGGAAAACATGAGCCATCTATTTCTGAAACCCCTGTGCTATAAGGTTCTGATGTGAAGGCTGTTTTTCTTACAGTGAGTCACTTTGAGCAGATGGTAACCTGGACACTCTGACAGGGCTCTGATTTCTCCCAGAGCTGGACGGCGTACTTTCCAAACCTGTGGAAACATAAACAAAAAAAAACACTTACCAAAAAAATAATCCCTCTCTCCAGAAATAGTCTGCCTGGTTGCTTTAATCTCAATGGCTTGCTCATACAAATACCGGTTTCAGAAGGTTCCTCGTTCTGGATTCGCTGTCTGTCTTTCATAAGCAAAGCTTTTGTCTTTTGGGCCTTGGTCTTCTGCTCTTCCTGCCACTCTGGGGGAGAAATCCCGAACAGGAAGTCTCTGTATTTCTGGTAGTCTCTCAGAGCTTCTTCATACTTGTCTAGTTCACTGGGAAGTCATAAGAAAAGCACAACATGGCCCTCTGTTTGTGGTTTTGCACTTTTACATCCATGCAGTAGATCATGTGATTTAATGCCCAGTAAGAGTCAAACTCCAGGATCCTGCTCACATTTGATCACTTTCTAACCACAAACTGTAATGTGTTTTATCAGGATTACTGCAATAAAGTTAAGAAAAAATGTTAAGTAAAGTAAAGGAAAAATAGTACATGGACTCCCTTTTTTGTTGTAAATAGAAGCCCAGAAATGGTTGGCTATTTAAATGAGATGGTGGAAGCATCATGCTGTGGGGATGCTTTTCTACAGCTTGGACAGAGTAGATGCTAATAGTTTTGAGGAGCTGTGTTTCCATCCAATCCTCATAAGAAAGCTTTTGAAAAGCGGCAAATAATATGATTAGAATTAGTTTCTTTCGATTGGAGCAAATTAACCAGACAATGCAAAGCATAAGGTCGTCATACATTTAGGTTAGACTAGGCTTTAGTAAAGAAGAAGTAGAGGTAGCAAGCTAGCACAGACAACAGATCTGTAATGGAGCCAAGTTATAAAGTGTGTGTTCCAATCAAGTAAGGTGATCTAAACTTGTTCATGTCCAATCCGATATTCTTATTAAATCTAAAGATCTTGATACTTTTCCGATGCTTTGATGTCATCATCATTTCTGTGGATTTTTTAAGCTACTGTCCCAAACTCCTCTCTATATGCAAGTATGACTGTCATGATTGCAGCCCCATTAGCTGATCTAATTACTCACTTCATTCACCTGCCGTTGCCTCCCCCCTTTCTAATTATCTATACGTTTCAGCCCAGCTATCAGGGCCAGATCATTATTTGTGTATTCTTAGTTTATTCATCTTATGTTTTCGTGTCAGTAATTTATATTTGTTTCATGAGACTTAAGTTCCCGGTTAATGTCCCGAGTCTTGGAGACCAGTGGATTGAGAGGGTTTGGTGTTTGTCTCCTGTCTCCCGGTCATGTCCCGGCTCTTCTCCACTGAGCCCTCAGGGTTTTGGCTCGGAACTTGGGGAAGGTCAGTTTTAATTCCTGTAAGCCTGGCTCCAGGGCTGGAGACCAGTTAAAAGTTCTGCATTTATCCTGGTATCAAGTCTTGTCCATGTTCCTCTCTACAACTGAGCCTACCTGTCTTCATCTGCGCGTTTCTGTCTGAGCACGCTGCTGGACTCATAGAACTCTGAACCTGCCTGAATGCTCTGATGATTCCTGGAACCCTGGATCTGTCTGTTCCTGTTTGGATCGGAAACTCTGGTTCGGACTACGGACTCCTGGATCTTAAATGTCCGTTTCTT